GGGGGAACTGGGGCCGGCGGGACGGGTTTTAGCATAGAGGGTTGGTGGCAGGTTGGAGCGGGGCGGAGGGATGTTGGGGCGGGGCGAAGGGGGTGAAGCGCTGATGCTGGAACGCGGGGCGGAGGCCGGGCCTCATCGCCAAGCTCCCGCCCCACCCCCCGAATTGGGCGTTTAGGGCCGACCGGATTCCGAGGTACCGTTCCCTGGGTACCTGGCGACGTTAGCCTGGGGCCCTGAGCCCCCGAAACCACCATCACCACTCCTACACTTACATCAGGCCGCCGGTGCCGCTCCCGCTTTGGAGCCTGAACGGGGGAAGATTCCAGATCCCCTAAAGAAATATAGCGCCGGACAAAAGCAGGATTCCATTTCTAAATAAAGTTGTGAATTTTAACTTTTTAAGTAAAAGTTAAATGTGTCTTTTTAAAGCACATTTTGCCATTTGCACAGTTGCGGGAACTTCGTGCCCCATCGTATATAAAACCCAAGCCGGAATAGCGGTAACCTAGGTGATAACTCACACATACGAAATAGTGGTGGACGAAGCTGTCCTCAGGGTTGTTTCTATTTATGTTGTCCCCTCACTCCCAGGTCTTCGAAAAGATGTTTTTGAAGACATTCTCCGGTTACCCCCCACTCTATACGAACAGTAAAATCTCCCTGCTCTGTTTTCACTTACTCCTTTGTGTCCCCGATTAAAATGTAAATTTTTAGGGGGTAGGGGCTTTGTTTTGTTTTGTTTTGCTGTTTCCACACACCTAGAAGGTGCTGACTAAATATCTGCTAAGTGAACTAAACAATTTAAAAGATGGAACTTATAAACATTTGCTACTTTATATTAATGGAACAACTTCTGAGAGGTTTAAGAATTAAAATCAGAAGGTTAAGTTCCTGGATTTCACATCTAAGATTTTTCTCCATGTTTAAAGGGAATAATAATGATAATAATACCTTATGTGTTATTTTGAGGATTGTGCCTGCACAGTAAGTGGTATATAAGTGTTAGCCATTCCTACTCATTCTTTAATATCATGAATAAAGCTCTTGGAAATGAACACTGAAAAGAGAAACACTGGTAGCCAGGACCCGACTGAAAATATTTTGCATCTCGTCTCTGATAATGGGCTTTCAAATAATACAACTACAAGTATTTACTTCCTTTTTTTAAAGTTTATTTTCTTTATCTTGACAGAGAAAGAGAGAGGTAAGGGCAGAGGGAGAGAGAGAGAGAGAGAGAGAGAGAGAGAGAGAATCTTAAGCAGACTCCACACTGTCTGATGCAAAGTCTGATGCAGTACAAAGTCTGATGCAGGGCTAGATATCACAAAATGTGAGACCATGACCTGAGCTGAAATCAAGAGTCAAAAGCTTAACAGACTGAGACACCTGGGCATCCCTACAAGTATTTAATTATGATAAAACGTCATCTTTGCTCACTGAAAACAGACATATATACTTTCCATTTACTCCACAATATAGTTCATTTTGAAATGTCTTATATAGTACCTACTGAAACTCAGGTTCAGACCACAGTTCAAAATGATGGAGTGACTCACCATTACATATTCTTTTAGTTCTATTCTGAATCAAAGTTATCAGATGCAATTCCATTACTTCAGCTCCATGCAGAAATGTCTTCACGAAGCATAATGGACTCATGTCCTTAGCATAAATTAAGATTTTTATACCACAAATGGCCATCTACATTTTTCCTGCATATTTTATAAAACTTTATCATTGTTCAATATCTTTAGTAGATCCCTACTTTACTACTTGAGTTCAGGGCTAGAAAAAAGTTTTGTTTCTCCCAATAGATACACATGCTCAGCTTTGAGAGCTAACTCATCATATTCAGGCTTCATTGCACTCTCAGGAAGCTTCGAGCTAAATTTAATAGTCGGTTATAGCAACTATTCTGGTTTTTTTTAGCATTATAATTACTGCCATGACCTCAGAAAACGACGTATTCTTTTATCCCTATTTTAATGATTTGATTACCCTAATTGTAACTAAGATCTTGTGTCTTGGTTAAAGCTGCCTCAAATATCTTGTAGTAGGCAACTCAACAGGCAGAACTGTAAGTTGGGGCAATTTGTATTCATAGTGTCTTGACCATATTTCAGTTCAATATTAGTCCTCAAATCCACTTAAAAACAACGGGAAGGTAATGTAAAATGTAATGGGTCTGCCCCCTCCCCCCCCCCCATCAGTAAAGACATCTTTAACTGATGTCTTTTGGAAGAGAAAAGAAAGCAACTAGACCAAATTGGAAAAATCACCAAGAAAATAGTCATCTTCAGCATTCACGGTTATTTACTGGAAAAACTGATTTCAAGTTTTCTCTGAATAATAGCACCTTACATTTATATAATGCATTGTTATTTGAAGAACACTTTTACACTGACTTCAACAATTCTGTTTACAAGAGAGGAGTTTGAGGCTAAGTAGCAGTGCTATTGACTCCTCAAGCTTTTATGCACTATTAACGTCCCCTGAAAACTTGAAAACATAAGATACTAAGTGATGATGGTTAAATCCCTAAGAGGTGACTGGCAGAAAGAGGCTGGCACATGGTATGGCTCTGGATATAGACTGCTGGGAATTCCTCAGAATTGGGTGCATGTGGGAAGCTGGGTGTGGGCAGGGAGGTTGTGGGGGGGGGGTACAAAAGTAATACCACATTTTAGCAATTTATCAGATAAGGCTTTGAGATACCTACGTGTAACTCACAAGATACTAATGAACTCACTTGAGCTTTGTTTCTGGTAGTGCTGAGAGATTCAGTTACTCAACCATCTATTCATTCATTCAAAATGCATGCTGAATAGCGATGAAGTTATCAGGCACAAGGCTGGGCAAAGGGAATCCACCAGGAGCCAGATGTGCTCCTGTCTCCGTGAAGATTACAGTCTAGTGGGAAGCCGGATAGGCAGGTATAGGGTGCTGTGAGAATGTATAGGAAGAGGGAAGGGCACCCAGTCCAGATGTGTGAGGTTTTGCTAAAGAGAACATGCACGGGGCGCCTGGGTGGCGCAGTCGGTTAAGCGTCCGACTTCAATCAGGTCACGATCTCGCGGTCCGTGAGTTCGAGCCCCGCGTCGGGCTCTGGGCTGATGGCTCAGAGCCGGGATCCTGTTTCCGATTCTGTGTCTCCCTCTCTCTCTGCCCCTCCCCCGTTCATGCTCTGTCTCTCTCTGTCCCAAAAATAAATAAACGTTGAAAAAAATAAATAAATAAAAAGAACATGCACTCACTCAGGTCTCTGTTTAGGAGTTAGCAAAGATGAGAAGCAGGGGAGAAATGGATGGACAAGTGGAAAGGCCTCAAAGTGAAAGAAAGCAGGGCATTTCTGAAGGACAGATATTAATTTTATTTGCTATGGGGGAATTCTTATATATTCCCGGAACCAATATTGGAAAACCCAAATTTTGAAGGTAGGACACATGAAGAAAAGGAGAGAAAAAGTTTACTCAATTTATCAATACATAGGTAGCATTCTGGGTGATTTATTTTATTAAAAGGAAATTCTTCTGTATTTAATAAAGACTAAAATAATGTAAGGTAAGGGCTAGAATAAAAACCAGATAATGAAGCTCCTCTTTTTCTTGCTATACTTACTGAGGCATTGATGAATTTACTTTAAATTTTTCTCTAAGAAGTAAATGGGGGAAAAAAACTCCTAAATTACTTAGCTTTCTTCAACAACATGTTAATTTTGATGAAGTTCACTGATTCCTTCAACGCTTATTAAACACCTACTATGTGCCAGGCTCCTTCCTGGATACCATAGATTCAAGCTCCTGGGAGCTTAGAGTCTAGTGGGAAGGAAATAAGCAGACAATTTGAATCCGGTACAGTGACACTCTGGGCCTACAGAGGAGGGGGCTCCTAACCTGGATGGGTTGTGCAGGAAGTCTTCCCAGAAAAACCCTTAGTAAGTCTTGAAAGATAAGGAAGAGTTAGCCAGAAAAGGGGTAGGGAGTCAGCAGAAGGAGTACCATAAGAAAAGGAATGACAAAACGTGGTGTATTACTGGTGACATTTAAAACGGGTATGAGTTAGGGTATGACAAGATCCAAGGCTGGAGAGAAAGATGTGGGGGTGGTAAATGGCTTTGTTTGCCAGGCTAAAGAGTTTAGCTTTTTATACCCCAAGGTATGAGGTATCACTGAAGGATTAAATTTGGCAGTGATAGAAGATTCCAGTTTTTTTTTTTTTTAATTCTTATTTATTTTTTAGAGAAAGAGAGAGAGAGAAAGAGAGAGAGTGGGGGAAGGGGCAGAGAGAGGGAGACACAGAATCCAAAGCAGGCTCCAGGCTCTGAGATCTCAGCACAGAGCCTGACGCGGGGCTCACACTCACGAGCCGGGAGGTCATGACCTGAGCCAAAGTCAAAGGCTTAACTGACTGAGCCACCCAGGCGCCCCTGAAGATTACAGTTTTAAAAGCCTGTTGGCACTGTGAAAACCGGCTTGGAGGAAAAGAAGATTCGACACTGGGCGACTGGTTGGGAGAGGTTGCAGACATCTAGGCGAAAGATGACGAGGCCTGAACAAAGACAGAGGCAGAAACAATGAACAAGTGGACAGATTAGAAAGAGATTAAGGTGTTTGATCTATAAGACTTGGAGGCTACTGAGCATGCAACTCTTGATCGCGGGGTCATAAATTTGGGACCCGTGTTGGGCAGAGAGATTACTTAAAAATAAAATCTTTAAAAAAAAAAAAGAATGCTCCAAAGGGGAACCTGGCTGGCTCAGTCAGCAGAGCGCGCAACTCTTGATGTCAGGGTTGTGAGTTTAAGCTTCACGTTGGGCGTGAAGCCTACTTAGTTAAAATTAAAATAAATAAATAAACAAGACTTGGAGGCTAGTGACCTGTGTACAGATCTAGGTAGGTGATGATGCTATCTATCACAAGGAAGAAAAAAAGGAGACAGAAGAGCTTTTTCCTCTTAGGTTTAAGGGCTGTTGGTGGGAACTGCTGGGGAGGAGGAAAGATGGAGAGCTGAGTATGAGTTTCAGACTGTATTTGATGTTTGAGGTACCTGTAGCAGATCCCAGGAGAGATGTCCGGTGGGCAGATCGACTTGGAAGTCTGCCCATCTGCAAAGAGGTTGGGGCTAGAGATATAAACTTGAAAGCTGTATTAGTTTCCTATCATTGCTGTGACAAATAATCACAATTTAGTGGCTTTAAAGCAACACAAATCTATTCTCTTAAGAGTTCTGGAGGGCAGAATTATGAAATACACCTTACCAACCTGTTAGGGCCAGGTTGGTTCCTTTTGGAGACTTTAGGAGAAAATCTCTTCCCTCACCTTTTCCCGACCCCGGAGGCTACCTACATTCCTTGGCTCACAGCCCTTCACGATCACACCTTTTCTCCCTCTGTTTCTGTCATCACATAGTTTCTGTTTGATTCCAACACTTCCTGTGTCCCTCCCATAAAGACTCTTGAGATTACATGCTCCCCACCCTCCGATAATGCAGGACAACCCCCCATTTCAAGATCCTTAACTTGATCATATCTGCGAAGTCCCTTTCCCTGTATAGAGTAACAATCACAGGTTTCAGAGATTAGGACATGAACATCCTTGGGGGCCATTATTCAGCTGACCACAGAAGTTATGAACATTTAAAAGCCATGAAAAGGGATGAAATTATTTTTGGAAAACGTGGAAAACCAGGAGAACACTGTCACAGAAGCCGTCACGAGAACATTTCTAGGAAGAAGAGATATACTGCTCAAATGCTGCCAAGAGGTTAACCCAGATAAGGACTGAAAATTGTCAGCTACTTTAGCAACTAGGCAACTGTAAATACAATGTCAGTGAAGTGGCAGGGGTGGAAGCCAAACTGGAGGAGAGCTGAGGGATAAATGAAAACTGAAAAACTGAAGACAGTAACTGTAGTCGACTCTTTGAAGAAGCTTAGCTACAACAGAAGAGGAAAAAGGGCAATAGGTGAGACAGAGACGAGGCCAAAGGCTGGATCAACTTCCAAGTTGATCTGCCTACTAGACATCTCCCCTGGGATCTGCTGCAGGTACATCAAACATCAGGGCTGCTTAGATGCTGAAGGGACAGGGGTGACACAGGAGAAGGGTGCAAAGGTAGAAGAGAAAGAGCTGCGAGTTCTCTGAAGGGTAGGGGGGGAGGACGAGTTCAGAGAAGAGACAGTGGTGCAAAGTGCACAGAATGGAAAAGCTGCCTCTATTCCAAAAGGAAGGAGTGGGGATGAGGGTTGGCGATGGGCAGCCAGCCCATAGGAAGCTATCGGTCGGGGAGGAAGAGGTGGCTAAGAACCTCGTGTTTGATTGATGCTTTTCTCTGTGAGGCAGGAGGTGGAAGACCTATCTACTATGAGTGAAGGGAGAGAAGTAGGAAGCTCGAGAACCGTGAACGTTCAAAATGGTGGTGGGGCTGAATGCAAAAGGCTATGGCCAGGAATGTGCACAAGCACACAAAACAACAGAAACTACACTTGTGAGTGAGGACTAAGAAGGGAAGGCTACAGTTCTAGAATAGAACAACCTCAATGTATGCTGATGTAGGTATGAGCAGATGTGGCCATTTTTCTAAGTTTTAAACAACTTCAAGCCAGATATGTTTGCTAACGTATCTTAAGTCTACCACGGTTTGAATCACACACGCTTAGCAAATTTGAAGAAACATTTTTTAAACGTGCAGTCCACTTCAGAGTCGGGGGTGTTTTCATTATGTAGTTTTTATTTTAGACGAACGTTATTGTAAAAAAAAGTTCACCTGGAATAAAGTCCATTAAAAAAAAAACACAGCATCAGTTATCAGTATACAGTTAATGAATTGGCTTAAACAAGATTAACCACATGACAGGTTCACTTTATCTGCAGAAGCTTTTCACAATAAGCCGTTGAAGCAAAAAAAAAAAAAAAAAAAAAAAAAAAAAAAAAAAAATGCCGAAAAATACACAGTAGGACAATTCTATGGAAAGACTAGATATTTCCCACTAAGGGCATGATTTTAGTCAAATCGTTTATGGCGTTTTGCATTAAAGGAACTACAGTGTCAGCTGCAAACAAACAAAATAAAACCCATCTGTAAGGCCATAGGAATGAATTATAATAATTAAATTCACATTTTAAAAAAGGTAAGAAAATGAAACAAGAAGTTTCTATTAGTTCTTGGCAATAAGAAATGCAATTGCATATGGCACAAGCATTGCAAAAAACAAAGGAAAATTTGAAAATATCCCTAAAATAACTGTTTGCTAATTTTCACTTCTGTAAATTTCAGTCATTTAGAATTTTTTCATATTGACCATGACTCCCATTAATATTATTAGTCTAAAAAAAAAAAAAAAAAAAAAAAAAAAAAAAAAAAAAAAAAAAACACTGATTCTCCTGTAAAATTGTGCTGGGATTTAAATTTTTATTAGCATATCCTGTACCTCTAGGACAAGGAATTTCATTTTTAGACATTCCTTTTTCCTCCCTTCTTTGGATATCACAAGAAGGAAAAGGAATGGTCCTTTCTGTTAAAAGAAAAATTCTAAAAACCCGACAGCAGAAATGAGTGCTTAAAATCTGAGCTAAGTAAATCAACGTAATGAAATGCTGTTTTAAAATTTGAAGCTCAGAAGTCCATCTTTAAAGATTAAGTACTAAATTTATAAAGAAATCTAAGTCATGAACTAGAAAAGAAAGTCTCCTTAAATGTATCACTTACTGTTCACAGGAAAAACTTTATAAGTCTTAATACAGATTCTCAGCATTCAGAATCCGTAAAATGGAGTTATAATCTCTTACTTAGAAATTTCTGCAAACATTTATCTATATTGCACAGCTAAATTTCTTAATGTAGACAGGGCGAGAATACCTTTTTTTGCACTAAGTGGATATGACATGTATGTTCTATTCTAAAGTAAACTATCTCCTACCTCTTCCAATGATGTCTTTAGTCCAAAACAAAACATAAAATCTAAATGGTGCCGGATGCTTAAAGGCTGGCTCACTGTTTTTCTACCAGGTATTAGAATACTAGTTAGCTAAATGAGGTATAATTAAAAAATAGTCCTTCAGAGTAAAGAGTATATTCTTCGGAACATTTATAACAAAGACTGCACAAAATGCTCACGTAAATAGTAAGAAACCCTGTGGCGCCTCCTAACCGACGCACAGGTGGTTATTTTCTCATAATCTGTATGAAGTAAAACATAGCGAAAATAAATTCCCAGCGAAACGTCTTACAATCAACTGGTTTACATGCTAACTTAGTTACAGCACATTTTCATGGTCTGACATCCTCAGACTCTATTTGAAAAGGTCTAGTCCAATCATTGTCAAAAATTCGCACAATGACAATAAAGTGCAGCCACCGAACCACTAACTGCTGCCAAAGTCTGCGTGTACCTTTCCCCTAAGACCACAAACATGTTCACGCAAAACTAGATTTCTTCAGTTTCAGCAGGGAACAGACAATTATCTGTCACTAAATTCATCTACAAATAGAAAAAATAATGCACTGTAGGTACATTATGAAGCAAAGTGGAGTATTTATTGGGGCATTTTACCATGCAGAAAGGGAATTTCCTATGGTCTTAGCTCAAATTATATACAATTCAGCAAAGCTACATGTAAGAAAATAGCAAGGACAATTTATTTCTATATAACAGAGCATATATCCCCAAATTGCTGCTACTTCAAAGAGCACTTTTAGACTCATCACTTTTACAGGCTCTTTCAAAGGGAAATTCATGGAGACTAATTATTAACCCATATAAGACAAAAGAAGAGAGAAGGAATAAATCAGAAGCAAAGCATTCTGTTAAAAAAAAAAAAAAAGTCTAACCACAGAAAATGTCAGTTTTGGTTTGCAGACAACCCCTGAGATATAAACCAAAGTGTTAAGACACCAAATAGTCAGAGGTAAATTACTAGAATTACATTCATACATGGTGTCATAGCACTTGCCTTTTAGAAAGTACTTTGTTACCATTCAGAAAGCTTAACTGCTTGGATATTTTTTCAGAAAATTAGCAAAGACAAGATGTTTCTAAGAAATTATTTTTTCTTTCCAAAAATGTATCTAATTTTAAGACGGAAGATGTACAATCAGCTTTCAATCGAGCAATTAGTGATTATGCTGGGACACCAGCAGGTGCCTCTAAACCGATAGGTAAATAAA